AAGGTGTTCCGTACAGTATTACAAATAACGCTACTTTGCCCAACTCTAAACTTAATTTTAACTAGTTCAAATATTAATAAAATTATTTGGCGTATAGTATTGTTTTGATTGTATTTATTCTACCAGTAAAATTAACAATTGCATAATAAAATCATTATTCGATAGCTTACTATGATCGGACTATTAGAATAACTCGAGTTATTTTTGATGGTAATTATGTTTCACCAAATAACTTTGTTATTTGGTGATAACGTAATTACCATCAAAACAACTCGAGTCATTCCGATGGTCTAGTCGTCGTAAGTTATTGGATAAAAATTGAATGCTAACTTACTTATATGGCTTTAAATTTAACGTACCATTTCTGGGCTCAAAAGTTGGCATATTAAATTTAAAAACAGATAATGGAGTAATTTTACAAATAACTCCCGTTATTGGATGCTTCACATTTCAATAACTATAAATTATTTAAAACTTGAATTCATGAATTAAAAAGAGCACAATGACAAACATATTATTGGATAAAAATAAAAGAAAATATAGTATATTACTAAAACAATAACAATCATAGCAAATTTTCAACACCAAAATTTGGGGGTTCAAAGATTTGATTATAATCGGTAACATACAGTATTACAGTATTAACAATCAAGAGATAGGGTAGGTGGATAAAAAAAATTAAGGTTTATATTAATCGGGCAAAAGAATTAACAATGATCAACGAAAATAATTTCTATTTATAAGATAAACTCTTGTTTCAAATATAGCGTAGTTGACACTACAATATACGTCATTTTGCAGTTCTTCAATAACAAATATAGTAATTAATATAATCAGTTGAGTAAAATTACAGAATTAAAAATATTTGAAAATTTCCGATAGTGCATTATCATAGACAACGATTAGTGTGGAATAAATTATAACAGGAAGTAAGAACAAGTGTTATGACAAGAAATTTTTTCTACAACACAATGAAGATAGAGAAAACAATAAAATCAATAAAAGTAATAAATAAAAGGGAGGTAATAAATACAACACTTTCATGAGAAATCAACACAACCTAATTTATTTACTAGGCCTAATTTACTAGCATTACGGCCGAATGTGCAGTAAAAAATTCAGACATTTTTTGGGAGAAAAAAAAATAAAGACAAAAGTAGGATACCACATTACTGACAAGGCAGTTTAGACACAATTTTTGAAGCAAAGATTCCCCCGCCGAAAATTATAGCCATAACAAGTATATAAATTAGGACATTGGTGAACAGTTACACTTATTGTTTCACACTTATCCGCAGCTTCCGACAGATAATAATGGTAATTAAAGATTTACTGATCCTCAAAGATAGATGTTACACCACACAACCCGCGCACATGCATTGAGGTATTGTCAACAAGGTGTCACATGCGGAAGCTTTCAGTCGAAATTACGACATTTTTTGAGTACAGGAAATCAAAAAGGAAGCAAGAATACGCCGACGAAAAGGCGCTAGAAATTTGATCAACGGTTATTATGAAGGATAAATAAGGATGTAAACACGCACCAACCAAAAAAGCAAACAATTGAATAAATATCCACGGGTTGACTACTCCGCATTCAAAGGATCCATTAATGGAATGTTCTTTGCATGGTATTGCTTGGTTACAAAATTGAACCATGGTAAATAAGAAGTTAACAACGGTAAGGAAAAGAAAAAATGATAAGATATCGAACGATGAATGCACTGTCATTCTTCTTTGGCAGCTTTTATGCATATTATCCTAGGGTAAGGTATGTAGGTATGTAAATATGTACGGGCGCAGATATGGGTACACAAGGTAAGAAATTGAATAAACGATAACATAATAATGATTTTCCCCAACGGAAAGAAAAAAAGAAAAAAAAATTTTTTCTTTGAATAGATATGGTGATGCAACATGCACCTGGGTATCACGAAAAGATTAACCTTATTTGCGGAAATTCGATTGTAAAAAAAAAATATGGCCCCTTCATTGACTACCCAATCCATGATATCATAACATATTCTAGACCTTGGCCAAACAGTTCACAGGTTGATAAAATCCGTGAAATTGACAATGATTTTAGCCTCTGTATCACTAAATTCGCCGGTTGGTGTTATTTTTTTTAACAAGTTTCAAACCTGAAACGGATTTACCATGTGAATATATGCCGAATGTATTCAAAAATTTTTTTTTTTTTTTACTATTATTCCGAAAAAAAAACGCCATAAGAATCCGATTGTGGGCTGACCAATTTATACACACTAAACATACACTAAACACATACACTTAACAGACTAAACAGTATGACATAAATTTTTTTTAAATAGTGATAGTACTGTACGTATAGCCTTAAAAATAATATAAGCTCAATAGATAATACGTAATGTAAATTTTAATAATATAACGTCAATAGCATGGCATCAATGATATAATAACGTCAATAGTATAACGTCAGTAGTATAACTTTAACATTAATAACATTAATACAGTAATTTCATCAGTAGTCAGTAGTATAGTAAAGCGTTAATTGTATCATTAAATAACATTAAATAACATTAACTAATAGTGTATAGTTAAAGATATAAGACTAACTGTATAAAGTTAATAGTATAACATTAACGGTATAACGCATTAAAGAAATATCATTAAAGGAATAGACTAATAGAATAGAGTAGAAAATGAAAGAAAAGAATACGACTAGTATAATCGTTATAAACGCCAATGCCTGCATCGGAATTTTAATGTGAATTCTCGTAAATGACCTGATTGATAAGGTTCGATCGTATTCCCCCATGTACCACTTAAAAAACCTCCTTATGGTACCACCGTTAACCCTTAAAATCACAAAGAAGGAATGTCGGAGGAAAAAAAAAGCGTAATGTCATTATTCAAGCAATTATAAATTTATAAATAATAATAATTAATCTTATCTAATTAAATTAATGTTATCAATTAATTTATTTAATTGATAAAGTAATAATGTTTATATGTTACAATTATCTGTTGTGGGATTCGACAGATACTACTTTACACTTAAGTATGAATAAATGTGCGGAAATTAAAAATTCTTTATTGTCATACATTCCTTACATTCAAAAATTTGAGTGAATGCTTAGTGTCATGCTGTTATGCATCAATTTCAATTCTTATGAAAGGATATCACAAAGTCATTTGATCAAACAACTTTTTAATCGATTGGTCGTACGAAAAATACGGCACACATTATTCTCTTTTCCGATATGCAAGCCATTATTGCATAAGAAGAAATTTATTGCGTAATTTTTATTTACATTTAATTGAATTTTATTGTGTGATTATTTTTTGTTCTAGATCCTTGTTAGTTTATTTTCATTAATCATAATTACCATACATAATTATCATAATTTCGTAATTTTTTTCATTAAGTTCACACAGTTTCACCAAAATCATTAAACTCCCACTAATTTTCACTAAACATTCATTAAAATATTTATTTATTTATTTATTTTACACTATACGTACTAATTTATACATGTATATATTCAGTATAATATATAATACTATAATTTATAATACTATAATTTATAATAAAAGGTTTAGTTGGTTAGTACTGTATATGCAGATTTTTTAAACTTCTTATTTATGTTTAGTTTAAATGTTTATTTTAATGCATATCGGTTACTGTAATCATACTATTTCTTGGCAAGGATATACCTTTTTCCAATTTGACACTATGACCAATTTAATCAAATTTGCCCAATTGGTCAACTTTTTTTTTCGTTCCGTATTGTCTTCTATCATGAAATTTGACATGGAATTCATACTTGCCGATTCTTTTCTGAATCGTCCAGGCTTACCAAGGTAAGCCGACTGTATGTTCCTTTTTAAGGTTTGTTGCTAAGTTTAAATCCGGATCTATTATTTGATTCTCTATGATATTTCTCCGATTCACATCTTAAAGAATTTTATTTTATTTTTCCGATATTACAATTCGATTATCCTTCTTTCATGCACGTGGTACAATAAAAATCAGTCCTGAATTTCCCGTACGTACATACGCTTCGGAAAAATGTAAAGCTTTTATATATTTCTTTGATTATTACCTGTCATATTCTGGCATGTCCTGGCATATTCTGTCATATTCTATTCTTATTATATATTCTCTGTATCTGTCTGTATATCTGTCAATATATCTTATTCTGTCATATAAATTAAGAAATGTATTAAAGAATTCCAAATGTTTGTTTATGCAAAAAGGACTCGTCCATCATGATCTGTATCCGTCTCCGGCTGTTTCCTTACAATATATGTATTGTTTATTTAAAAAAAAATATTCCTTTTTGCCGCAAAATGCTCCGTTATTATGATAAGCCTCACGATGTTAATTTCTAAATTCAATCTACTCATTTGCATGATGACGATGTTTAGGTATCACTATCTGATCATCTCGGTCACAAATGAACTAGCTTTATCACAATCAACTATCCGAATCTCAACATTTTTTTTTTCATTTAAAATGTTTCATTTTAAATTATAAATGAGTACCGTATATTTACCGTATATGCTGTATATGCTAGTTAATGTTAGTGGCTTTTATACTATTTTGAATTAATCGGTGTAACCTTTATAATTTTAATTGTGTTGACCAACAGATGATTTCTCACCTTTCCTTTTCTTTCCGGTAACGTAAGATTTTTTTTTTTTTACGGTATTGTATAACATAAAAAAAACCGTACTCTAAAAAAATCCAAACATTTTATTTATTAATAATTTTTTTTTTTATTATTATTTTTTTTTTTTATTTGGTGTTTTTTTTTAATAAACAGTATATCATCACGTTTATCGCTTTCTTGACCCCGTTTATTCTTCTCAAACTTTTTTTATTTTTTTTCCCAAAAGTCATATAAAAAATATTCCGTCTCTTTTTTTTTTTAAAAAAAACAAAAAAAAAGTATAAATAATTTGATTAAAATAATTATTATTCTTACACATACACATTAAAAGTGTAAGAATAAAGAATGAGTACACAGTTAAAAGTTGAACGCCAACTTCCGTCTTTATCACACTCTTATTCTTTAAGTGACCAGCAACACTCAACGTCTTTAGTTAACGTTGAGCAGTCCCAAAATCCTTTTATTTCTGGACATATGTCTTCTCAATCGTCATGTTCGACTCCCTTTTCTTCTCCTCCTTCAAGAATTCGAACTGTTACTGATTCTGATTCCTCAAAACAATCTAACACTAGTAATACCATGAGATTAGCAAACACAAGTTTAGGTAGTGACGATAACGGAAGTGCCGTTATGAAGCGAACTAATAAAACTCACGTTCCAAGTGCCTGTGTGAACTGTAAGCGTGCTCACCTTGCTTGCGATGGTAAGTTCACGTCGAATTTAAATTTTAACTTGATCAAAAAATCAAGTCGGAGCTTGAATCATCTCTTCAATCCTGATCTTTTTTCTTATAATTCTTCTGATTTTTAATTTATCTGATTCTTTTCGGTTTTTCTGATTTTCCCTGATTTAATTCAATTTTATTATTATTATGCATTTAAAACTTAAATATTTATGTTTTGAATTTTGGATCGGGGTATTTATTTAAATCGGAGAATTTTTAAGTTTGAGATCTGTTAATTTCCGAACAAAAAAAATTCTTTTGAAGAGAAAATTCGCTCGACTCGATCAATGAAAATTTTTTTTATTAATTATATTTTCAATTAATATGACAAATAGTATCGAGACCTTGTAAACGATGCGTCGCTCTAAATAAAGTTGATACCTGTATCGACATTAAACACAAGAAACGAGGGCGCCCAAAATTAAAAGATAAGAAACCTCATCCGTACAATACTCATGCAACGGGTGATGCAAAAACCTGGGTTTCAAATACACAATTTCTTCCACCCACAACAACAAATCCAATTCCTTCTCGAAATCAACGTCAATTCGATCCTTCACCTTCTCAAAATAATCAACTTTCGTTTTCTTCTTTTGCACCTTCTCCTCCTTTCTATCGATCACCTCCTGCAAGACATATACCTTTTAATCATCCTCCTTTCGTCACTCAACCTTCAAGATCTCAAATTCCTTTATCTGAAATTTCACCGACAATTACTATGTTTTTAACGATTACTGGTGCACAATTTGCTCGAATTTCTGATGAATGCTTGGGTAATATGGGTTACTATTCAAATGAACTTGTTCATAAATCTTTATATGAATATGTTCCTCCTTCGGATTGTGAAAGATTACAAAAACTTGTTGACTCTTTAATGGATAATGCTCATAGGTACCACCATACTCTTCAACCTTCTCATCAATTCTCTTTCCAATCTCCTTCCTTTGATCATCCTGTTACAACCGATGATCCTGGTTTTTATCAAACAACTCCTGAACAATTACAATATCCTGCCTGTGGTGGTACTCTTATTGAAGCTGCTGACATGATTCATTTAAAACAAAGAAATGGTCAATATGATTTATATAATGTCAAAACTTATCTTGGTGGTGGTCTTGGTGCTGATTTAACGAGAAAAGAAACTTGGTCAAAATTATATATTGTCGCTTTTTTCACCAGAGTTAAAACTGGTTCTTGCGTACAAAATGATTGTAATCTTTACGCTCAATCTAGAATTAATGGTCAACCTGTTAATAATACTGTTAATAACACTGTTAATAATAATGTTAATAGTTCTGTTAATAGTACTGTTAATAGTATTAATGGTTTCTCAGCTGTGAACACACCTTCTACAATTACTACAATTGATCCGGCACTACTTTCGATGTCACATCATTCATCAAATGATACATCAAATATAGGTACAGGAAAATTATTTGGTCTTTTAAGTCCTGTCTCATCACCAAGACAAGATTTCAATCCATCATCTATATACATAGAACCACCACCACCACCTAATTCACAAAATCCTACCGACTTTCATTCCCATCAAAGAAGTCATCATTATTCAAACTCATTCGCTCCAGTAACTCAAAATATTCCTAGATCGGACTCATCTCATTCTTCACCATCAATGTTACCTGATAGACGATCTTTATCAAATAGATTTTCTAATAATAATATATATTATCATGAAATGGATGCTAAACCTGTTATAGAGTCATCATTTGAACATAATCGACTTGATCGTCCATCACATTTTCATCATATACCAGCGAATAATGATGCATCACAATTTCAAAATGATGATCGTGAAAGAATTATTTCAAGAGATTCTGAGTCTCGTGTAAGCACTCTTGGAACTGAATCAGATTCTACTCTCGTTACTAGGATGAGTGTAACTTCGTTATTATGCTAGAATTAAGTTTGTTTAATAATCCATATTACCTTTCCATTTTCTTTCCATACTGTTTAATGGTAAAAGATAAAAAAAAATATTGTGTGGGAAATTTTTAAAGGGCATTTTTTTGGGGGGGATTTCAATGCATCAAATGCATCATTGGGCATTTTTGTTATTACATACACGCACATCTTTTTTTTTTTTTTATAAATACATTTTGGAGGGTGTTGTCGCATTTGGTATTAAAAAAAAAAAAAAAAAAGTTTTTTTGACCAAGAATCTTTGTAAATTTATTTTTTTTCTCTTGATTCTTGTTTTTTTATTGTCACGATTATTAATACATGGGTAGGAAAGTTTTTTAAGTGCGGAAAGAAAACAGAATTAACAAGATACAAGAAGGAATGCAATTGAAAGAAATCTTTCAATTATAATGAAATTGGAAAATACGATTAAACATGCTAAAGAAAAAAAAAATCAAAAAAAATTAAACATTATGAGCATAAAGACAAATAGCACGACAAAATTATAGCATCAGTTGTTTTTAAGCTAGTAAAGATCAATGAACATTCAAACCATCCTTTTTACTATTCTACAAATATCATCTTTTAAAAACATGACATAATCTATATGCTCGCCAAATAAGAATCATGTCTAAATAACCTACGATATTAAAAAGAAATTCAACATTTACTCGAAACATCGTCTATCTGGAAATAGCTTTAAAAAAAAAAAACTTTGAATATCTTTAGATTTTTTATACAAAGATAAAAAGATAAATTTATTTCTACTATTATTCTTTGATCTGAAAGAAATTTTGCACAAACATTATTATTTATTTATTTCTCTATTTTTATTTTTTATTTTTATTGCACATATTACATTATATTATTATTATATTTATTAGTACTAATTTTTTTTTTTAAAAAATATATATATATATTATTTATTTATTTGACAATTTTGTTAGGCTAGGCTTTTTTTTTGTTGTGGTAATTTTATTTGATTGGCTGATTGGCTGATTGGCTGATTGGACAAAAAAAAATTTTGATTTTTTTTTTTTTTTAAGGAATCGCGTTATGCGAAATATAATGAAAAAAAAACACCAAAATAAAAAATAAAAAATTTATTAAGATTTCAAACAAATATTTGATACTTAGTATTAAAAATTATTTTTATTACCAATCATGATAAGTATGTAACATGTAACCAGTCATTATAATACTGTAATTATGATAAGTTTATCAAACTTATCATGATAAAATAGATAATACGTATCGGTATCTTTTGAAACTTTTTCAATAAACAGATAATTACAGATAATTGATAACTTGTAAGTTCGGTAATATTTACATTTTGATTTAGCCCTATCGGAACACTTTGAACGTGATAAAGATAAGGATCTACATAGATGATCGGAGCTTTATTTACACCGACGATCTTATCGGAAATCAATTTATTATTTATTCATTCTGATTGGTGAATAAAAATGATCTGATTAACGATCTCACGCTATTAATTTAGTACTACCTTCTGTACTCCCAAAAGAAGTTTCTAATTTTATTTTTGAATTTTTAATTTATTTTAAAGAATTATATAAAATTATATATTTGATTATTATTTGATGCTTTTTTTAAAATTAAAATTAAAAATGTCAGGTTCTAGTACGTGCTACGGTAATACGAATTAGGATAGATGCGCAAATTAAGATAACATATATCTTACCCTTACTTAAACATACTTAAACACGAGAGACTATCTCTATGTACCAAATCCAGACTTTTAGGATGATAATAATCAGGGGTTAGATTCCACTGTGCTTTATTATTATCAAAAATTAACGTATTTTTGGTATGTACAATATTCCCATTCATTCGAATCTGCGCTACCGTACAAGTACTACTTTACTTATTACTTTAGTTTTCCTCATGACCCAAACATGTTTAGTGAAATGCAGTGTCGGCACGTACGTACTTTTATTCTACTTACATTTGTACGATTGTATGACTAAATGGTGTCAATCACGATACATTGCATAATCTTTTAAAATTCTTTGATTAGAGTGTTGGAACTTTTTTTTTTTTTTTTTTTTTTTATATATATATTATTGATTACTGATTATGTTAGTATATCGATATAGATTATTAAAAAAATGTAGAGGTAGTTCATACCTATTATGTTAAACCGATAGAAATGTGGTGTAAGAATTCAAAGATCATTGATAAAGCATTAAAGAATCTCGACTTGTAGTACTAAAATGATTTCTTGAATAAAAAAAAAAAAATAATAAAGGTTATTATTTATTTACACGTACAAAATTTATTATGAATGATTAAACTAATAATTTCGTGAGACTTTGATAAACCAAAGAATTCATACTATCCTAAATAATAAATAATTTTTTTTATCAAATTTAAATTTAATTGCAGTTCTTTTACCTCTATAAAAAAAAAACGTATGTACGCACGTCCGTATATAGTTTTTACATACCGATACGTACTTTACGTACTTGTATACATATGTACCTATCGGTATTATTTTTTTTTTGCTTTGTGATTTAATCTTCAATGGTTGTACTTATTTACTTTCATTGGCATCCAAAAAGTAAATCAAACACAAAAAAAGGGTCTTATTTCCAATTTTTAATATCGGAATGTTGATTTTCGAAAAAGAAATTTATTTCCCGAGAAGGAATTATCACCGAAGGATACTAAAGTTTACTAAAGTACGTAAGTATAATTTTATTTTATTTTATTTTATCGTCATTAGAAAAGTAGCATATATATATATATATAAATTATATAAACATATATTGGCTTACCCGATTGTCAATATTTTTACATAATATGCAATTATATAATAAGTACTTTATTGTTTGTTGAATATCATTTATTTTATTGGTAATGTTACATATATAGCTTTTTATATAGTCACCTTATTAACCATAATTTTATACGTTATGCGATACAAAAAAACTCATTGTACGCATAATATATATTTATATACTATATATATATATCTATTACACGATATTATACCGTAGTATACTATACTATACTATACTATATACTGTATATATAAAGCAATATTATAAAAATTTTATTATAATATAAAAATTGTCTTTAAGTAATAGTTATTAATAAATATATATTTATACAACTAAAACTATTTATATAATTTAAATTTAACAATTAATTAAATTTAATGTCTTGTTAAATAAGGTTTAAAATATTAATTCAAGTTGTTTAAAATGTAATTTTATTAATATAATATTTAATTTTAAATTAAATTTATTTTTAATAATTATATTAAAATTATATTAATAATATAATATTATATATACGTTTATTAAATATATTTTTACTAGTTTATATATAAAAATTAAAGTCAAATTTTTTAAAATAATAATTATATTATATTTAATTTATAAATATTAATATTAATTTTTAAATATTAATTTTTTATAAATTGTTTGATTAATAAAAAACAAATATTAGAATAAAAATATAATTAATTAAAAAGATTACAAAAATAAAAACATATATATATATATTATATTTTTTAATATTAAAGTAAAATCTTATTTTTTGTTTCTTTGATAATTTTATCAAGGTTATTCTTGTATTTTATATTTTTGAACTAATATTCTTAATGTTTTTAGTCACTAGACTTCAATTACCTGATCTGTGTTTTTAAACTTTTCAAGAGTGATCCATTATATCAGTTCTTGCTAAAATCAAAAGGTTTTATTAGACTCTGTCTAGAATTAGTTATCATCATGAGTTTTTGTAGTATCTCTTATTATCAAATTTTTTGTCTTATATTATATTTCATAATTTCAGTTATTCCAAATTAGGTTCTAACTTGTATTCATCATCAGATGGTTTCTTAATTACAAGTCACTTATCTTTTTTAGAAATAAGTCTGTTTAATGATGTTTTGAATTCTTAATATCATGATATTACAGTTTTCTATTTTTAAAAATACATCTCTACAATTATTGTTATTAAAATTTAAACTACAATCTTGTAATTTGTAACCTTAAAGCATAATTACTATGCTATTGACTTTAGAAATTAAATCTTATTTTATATATATATATATTTTTTAACTTTGGCAACCTTGCCATTCACCTTTATTAAGTATTTAATATATATTTAATATATATAATTATGCTTAAATTTTGGTTCGACATCCTTCAATTACTTTGAAAGTGTTTAGAGGTAGTTTGTTATACGGTTGAAAAATTATCTGGATCTAGGAGTTATACCAAGCTAGCCTTTGAGACTATAAAAAAAAGGTCTCACATTATTATTAACAAAATTTTTAACTAACCCTAGCCATAACTCTTGTATTCTATTACTATCCACCTCTTTTTTCTTTATTTTCTTTTCTTTCTGAGCTAGGGTTTGCTTGTTTGGCTTTGCTGCTCTCATTTCTTTTAGTGTAATTGTTTTTGTAAATAGTTATTTTTCATATTTTTATTTTTTTTTTAGACCTATTCTTAGTTCTTTTTTTTAAACAACAACTGCTTCATATCATTTCTTCTATATATTCTTATAAAAACTATTCCATGCTTTATTATTAATATTTGCAAGAAATCTTTTGCTTCTGTTAGTATTTGTATTAGTTCTTGAATTATTTTTATAACTTTTTCATAAATTAATCTCTTAATTATTTTATATTTGCTCTCTTTCTTTTCTTTTCTAGTTTTTTTCTACATAATTTCTTTAAGTTTTTCTTTATCTAAGTTCTTTTATAATTCTTTTGTTGGTGCTAATCATGCTAGGTTGGTTGAGATTTCTTTTATATTTTGCTAACCTCTTTTATGATTGCTACATATTGCTAAATGCTCTTAATCTTTCTCTTTTTTTTTTTATTATATAGAATACAATATGGGTTTGTATAAAGATTTGAATATTACTTTGCTAGTGTCTTTAGTAAAGATAATTTTTCACTCAGGCACTTGATTAGTGTTTCGATTTGCTTGTTCTTTTTCATATTTGTACATTTTACTTTAC